ATGTAAATGTTATGTATTTGGTGATTAATACTGTGAAAAACTGCTAAGATTCCTTCTAATCCTCTGGCAAAAGGAAGCAAATCTCTGGGTAGCAACAGATCCTCTTTTTTAGCTGTGATCTGATTGAAGTCAGAGAGAAGGCTGTGATCTTACCCATCACATCCTGAACTTTCTCTGAGCGCTCACATCTGATCTCATTATCCCAGGACTCTGACAGCTTGAAAACTCAGGCAACGATATAGACTCAGGCAAAATCGAAAACATATTCTAGTTAGAATCATAAAATACCTTCTATCAAAGAGGGAATCAAAAGGTATGTATTATAGACTTCTAGGTTCTATTGCTTCTGTAAGCATTAGCATTATTAAACACATTTAACTATAAAAGAAGTAATAGAAATACACTATATGTTTAGTATGCTACTATTTATAAACTCCAGCTGTGGGGTATCATCTTGGTAACAGGAATATACAATCAAAGTATATTTCCATGCTACGATGGAAGCATTACTCATTTAAAGAATGCAATATGCTTAAGACAGGTAGAAACAATTTCACAATATTGTCATCGGCCCACTCATAAAAGAAAAAGATGAGTATTCAAAATGGCAGATAGAAACAATGGAACCATTCTGTTGGACAATCACTGGCAGTCACTCTTTTAACTGACAGAATAAAATGTTGTAAAAATAAATGAGTAAGGCCAGGCATGGTGGCCCATGTCTGTAATCCCAGCACTTTGGGAGGCTGAGGCAGCTGGATCACTTGAGGTCAGGAGTTCGAGACCAGGCTGGCCAACACGGTGAAACCCTGTCTCTACTAAAAATACAAAAATTAGCCAGGCGTGGTGGCAGGCATCTGCAATCCCAGCTACTCGGGAGGCTGAGACGGAAGAATCACTTGAACCAGGGAGGCAGAGGTAGCAGTGAACCAAGATAGTGCCACTGCACTCCAGCCTGGGCAATAAAGTGAGACTCCAGCTCTAAATGAATTAACTAGTTAATTAAAAAATGAATGAGTGAATGAATGAAAATGCATGAATGAACGAAGAATGATTTAAAAAATAGAGGGAGAACATACAGGTAGAAGAACTACTGTGTCAAGATGACCGTGTGACATTTGTTTATAACCACTCCTGTAAGAAAAAACTAGACAAAATCTATTAGTTTGATGTTCGGTGTATATATATGTATTAGTATTCAGGTTGGAACAAAGTTTAAAACATGCGTAAGATTAGGTCATTGCCCTAAAGGAACACGTGTGCAGGTGTGTGCATTTATTAGTTCACTTAGTAAATAGTAACTGAGTGCATTAGGTGCCTGGGAACACAAACACAAGGCACTGTCCCTGGCCTTAAGTATTAATATCTAATAGAAAAGATAGTCCTTTAAATAACAATTTACTGTAGCTCCTGATACAGAAGTATATATAAAATACTATAAGAACATAACATCATCGCAATATTTTCCAAATTATTCAGAAAGAATTATGCTTGTATCTACATAAAAATTCAGGTTTTATTAAAAATTAAGTGGTATATATTTATGAAATGCTATAAAAGTCACAATCAGTTTAATTGACTAGAGGCAGATGAGTAGACATAAAGACATTTAATTGAAATATAACCCTTTAACTTAAAAACAAATAATTACAAGTGATATACATTTCTAAACTATATAACGGCCACAGGAAAGTATAACAAGATTGCAGTGAAGTAAAGCTTTATTAAATGACACTGCTGACTGCCAAATAAGTTACTGAAGTGTGACTTCTAGGGCAGTAAGGATTCAGATCATCATTCTACTCTTTGTGGGGTAAAAAACAGAAAGCATCAATGTAAAAATCTCTCAGTTCCCTTGCAGAAAGCTCACCAGTGTGCCAGAGACAATGAAATATGAATGGTCTTGGGAGTGGGTGATAAGATCAAGGAGAAACACTAGAGCCATCTTGGAATATTCTGCTTCTCATGTTATGTTCCCAGTATTTCCTTTCTATTGTTAGTGCCACTACTGAAAAGAGGCTTAAGCTTCAACTTAATTCAATGGAAAGCAGGTTGAGACTGCAACTTTTCCCAAATTCACATAGGGCAAATACTGTTTTCTCCCAAGGAGTAAGGTATACAAAATTCTTCTAAAAATTTCTCTTAAAGCCTAGACCCACCCTCTGACTTGGATCATTGAAGATGAAAACCCATTTAGTAAAGAAAAGTGAAATGTCTTCACAGCTAAAAAAAAAAAAAAAGCACTGCTACCTGGAGCACTTGAACTACTTGAGCTGTTGTATCTCAAATATTTTTCTGTCATTCTCCATTATCCATCCATTCAATAAGCATTCTTTAAATGCTTACTATGTTCTAGACCTGGGAATGCAAACTTTTTCTTAAAGGGCCAGGTAGTGAATATTTTAGGACAAGATGTAAAATCAAGGACATCTGTAGGTACTTAATATAGTAATTTAAATATATACCACTTAAAATGTAAAATTATTTTTAGCTTTCAGTAAAAAGGGTCACGAATCAATAAAACCAGCATTAATAACATATGTCATTCTCTCAACAATTTAGGGAGGTATTATTCTTCTCATTTTTCAGAAGAGGAAATCAGGCTCAGACTAGTCATGTGATTTGTTTGTATTTGCACATTGTAAAGCCAGTATTCACACTTATGTCTTCTGGGGAACAGTACATTAATATCACCAACTCCCCATATGTAGCTCTCTCACATGCATAGTGATGAAATGATTTCTACTAACACAGATTACGGAGTATGTCCTAGAATATGTATTACATAGTATTATTAATTAACATTGGTAATAATATAGTAAGCATTTATGACTTTGGTGACCTGACGTTCTTCTAGGTTCTTAGAACCTAGAAGATCTCAACTGATCATCACAACACCCAATAGAGAAGCGACTATTATTTTTCTGTTTTACAAAGGGGTAAACTGAGGAAGAAAGAGGTTATATTACTACTCTGTAGCAGAACTGGTGCTTTATTTCACGTCTTCCTTAAGTTAACTTTTTTTGAGAGTCAAGTCTCAAGTCTGTTTCAATTTGAGATTATTTTTCTTGTTCATCCTTTAGGATTTCTGAGGAATAACTACTTTCTTTCTTCCATTTCTTAGGTCAAAAAAAAAAATCCTATAATTCAAACTATTAATAAAAACTATACGTTTCAGGTGTAAAGCGTGAACTCATGTGTAGTTTCTCTGAGGGTTAAATTACAAAATTTATGAAAAACCAGTAAGATAAATAATAAAAATCATTCCAGAAAAAAGCAAAATTTGAGAGTAGCCATGTTGGTGATGTTAACATGTCTCCCTATGTAAAAATTTGTATGTAAAAATACCCTAAGGGAATGTATTTGGTCAGCAGGGAACACTGGGAGGGAGAAAATGCAAGAGTTTCCCAAGAGGAAAACTCGGACACAGTCCTAAAAATGAAGTAACCCAAAGAAATGCCTTGTCGAAATTCCAGTACCAAGCATTTCCTTACTACAGAGATAGATGAATACAGTGAATACAATCTGATGCCATTATACATTATCATCACTGCATCTAGTGACAACGGCAAATAAGTTTCATGCTACCTGCCAAAACCGAATGAACTATAGTGGAAGATCTTCAGGGCTGCGTTGAAAAGGCTCTGTAGGCCAAGTCTGAACTCAGTGATGATAAGTATCATGACTGATTAGCCATGTCTGCCCAAGTCAGGAGGAAGGGTGGCACCATATATGCAGACCTTTCACACCACTCAATCCCATTTCTCTGATTTTGAGAGCAAAAAATTTGTGAAAGTAATTGAGATTTCATGTATCTTCCTGTACAGGGAATAGCCTGATATCCAAGAGTCTACTTCCCTTGACCACTGTATTTCCGGTCTGCAAATTAATCAGTTGGCATTCTGGTTCATTGACTAGTCTGTTGTGTACCTGGTTATATAAACTTAAACTGGGCAGTAACATCCATTCTCAGTGAACTGACAAGGTCAATTTTTCTGAGTCAACAACACTGATGAGCAAACTCAGACTCTGGTAAATTCACAAAAGTAAATCTTATGTGACCTCTTAGAAGCCAAACAGTGAGACAGCCTTTCCATTAAGAAAAAACTCTATCAGACACTTCTTCTAGAATTGAACAAAGAATATTTTTAATCAAATTCAGTTTCACAATTTCTAAATTTAATAATGGGATCCCTTCTTAAATTTTTTCTTCACAGATTTGCTACTGCCAGTGTTAGATGATGTTTAATTCTATACAAACACTCTCATCACCTCTGATTATGATGTTTAAAACCAATGAGAGTACCTTGAGTAGAATCGAATTCTCTCTCAATCTATGATTATATCAGCCTGTCAACATTATAGTTGTGCCCTGCACAATGATATTTTGGTAATGGACCATATATACCATGGTGATCCCGTAAGATATTATAAGATTAAAATGAAGCTGAAAAATTCCTGTTGCCTGGTGGGTGATATCATAGCCATCTTAATGTCATAGCACAAAGCATTACTCACGCGTTTGTGTGATGCTGGTGTAAACAAACCTATTCTGCAGCCAGTTGCATATAAGTATAGCACATATACTTATGCACAGCACATAATATGTGACAATGATAATAAATGACCATGTTACTGGTTTATGTACTTACTATATTATACTTTTTATCATTATTTTAGAGTATACTCCTACTAATGAAAAAACGTTAACCGTAACATGGTCTCAGGTTCTTCAGGAAGTATTCTAGAAGAAGGCATTGTTATCATAGGAGATGACAGCTCCACGTGTGTTACTGCTTCTGAAGACCTTCCAGCAGGACAAGATGTGGACGTAGCAGACAGTGATATTGATGATCATGACCCTGTACAGGCCTAGCCTAGTATGTGTGTGTGCTTCTTTTGTAAACTCAAATACACTCAGTCATACTCCATTTATGACAGCACCATTTCTTTTTCATATGGTCACACCACCCTAACTAAACCCATGTTTCTAGTTTTACCTTTCGGACGTTCGCCAACCGATTCATCATCAAGGACTCCTCTCGATCATCATCGTCATCCAAGTCGAGCATCGGCATGCCAAAGGGGTCAATGATGCTGCAACACCTGGAGCCTTCATCTCTTGGATCAAAGGGGTCCACGATTATGGGCTCAGTTCCTTTTATTTCACAACGACAGAAAGGGCAGCCCTGACCATCTGACTCCTAAACAAACAGAAAATGCATGGTTTCAAAACAAACAGTACTGAGAAATGCTAATGTTCTACAACTATAAAAGTCACCCCCCTAAAAAAAGTTTATGGGGTAGGAGGTGGGGGAAGATTTGTCTTGAAGAGGTAGTGTGTGTACAACAGGGAGTCAACAAAATATACAATAAATGGTCAGTATCTTCAGTTTCCTAAGGAAAAAAAAAAAAAATTTAAGTTCGATTTTCCCAAGAAAAGAAACCTCTTTATTCTCCTGAATGTTCACTTATTATTCTAATGTATCAAGGCAATAGAGTACTGAAGAAAATTGGACATTGAATCATGTCTCTCCTTATGAAAAGACAGCAGTACTAACTAAACATTCCATTAAAAAGTACATTTTGGTAAAAATTCATAATACAGCAGTAGTATCGATGGGAAAAATACAATACCTGTGCATCTAACTGTGGCTGAATATTTGTTTTAACTGCCTGTGTATTTTAAAATCTTTATACACAATTAGGAAAAATTAAAATGTGTGCATTTATATTCAAAAGCCATCATCTGTCCTGAAAGCCTCTCATCCTGACATACAACTCATTTGGAATATAAAGTTCTCTGTGAGATAGTAAGTTTTGCCCCTTATCTTGCTTTTAAACAATATGATACAAAAAGATTTGTGCAAATACTTTCGGGCTGGAAATGTATTTACTGGTCATTATTGGACATTTTGCTCAAAGTTTCCTACATTCATTTCTCAAAACTAACTATATTAAAAATTCACAATTTGCAGGGAAATAAAAAGACTGCTTTCTTGCCCTACAGACAACATTGCTTTCTAGAGATAAGATGGTATATGATATTCTCCACCCTATTTTTGGTTTTGCATTCCCTGACTTTAGCAATGTGTTATTTAAACGTAGTAAAAATCACAAAATCACTTTAAGGGAGAAACAGGATGAAATAGCACCATTTTAGTGGCAAGACAAGGGATGCAGAGAGCTGATGTCTTTAAAGAAACTGTTCCATAATTAATTCAGGACTGTCCTGTCCACTCAGTTTAATAGGAAATCAGTGATCTACCTGCCCAACAGTGATGTTTGGATCAAGGATGGAATAACTCTCTCCCTCTCTTCTCATTGAACAACTACCTCGCATCTACTTTGTGGCAGATCTTGTGATAGTTTATTCTTTCTAAGCTTCATTCAGCTCAACAAATTGAACACCTCCTTTGCCAAAGTGTCAAAAAACAAAAAACTGAGCTTGCTTAAGAAAAATAAATCGCAACATTCCCTTATTCATCTGCTTGTATATAATTTGGAAAATAAACTTGGAATGGTAAAATAGTTGAACTAAGGTGGTATAAAGAAATACAGATATATAAATAGAGAATCCTTCAAGGTTTCCCACCAAACATGTTCATGTCCAGCGGGCTTCAAAACATATTAAATATTATTTGCTCCATCATTTTATAGATAATAAAACCAAGATTTAGTTCTTCTATTTTTGATAACCTCCTTGCAATGATATTTTCTAACACAGGAGTAAATAAGAAAAACAAAATCTTTCTCTTATAAAAAGAATATTAAATTTGAAGTCATATTCAATATATGTTATCATCCAGGCAAAACTCCCCTTGTTATAAAAGTCAAAAGGGATCCATATTAGGTACCTATAGTGGAATACTTTTACAGATTTACAGAAGACAATTTCAAAAAGACAGTTTTATTTAACAGCAAGCTGTGCCAGCCTGGGCAACATAGCAAGACCTTGTCTCCATAAAAAATAAATGTTTAAAAAATTAGCCAGGTGTTGTAGTACACACCTGAAGTCCCAGCTGGCTGGGAGGCTGAGCTGGGGGCTTCGCTTGAGACCAGGAGTTTGAGGCTGCAGTGAGCTACGACAGCGTGACTGCCCTCAGACTGGGTGTCAGGGTAAGACCCTGTGCCAAAAAAAAAAAAAAAAGAAAGCAAGATCTGAAGATCTGATGGTCCCTCTGTCTTTAACACATGAAGAACGGAAAGTACTACTTTGAGACCTACGTAGTCGCTTAATTTACTCATACGTTTAAAAAAATTATTATAGAAAATCTCAGATACACATAAAATTTGAGGGAAAACTATAATAAATTTCTAAGTACCTATCACCTGACTTCAACAATTATCAATTCATCCTCAATCCAGTTTTATCTACATGTTCTCTTGTTCCTTCCACTCTTAGATCATTTTGAAGTATCTCCTACACATCATATAAATTCATTGGTAAATATTTTAGTATCATAACTAAAAACCAAGAACTTTTTAAAGATCTAATTCCAGTACAATTATCATAACTAAAAATTATTCCACCCAATCAAAATCATGAAAGTCACGTTATTTTTTAGTATAGTGCATAGAATGTGCAAGCCACACTATTAGGCTACATAAGTTTCTCTTTGAACCTCCAGGGTTAACTCACATATCGCTCTGGTTAAGGATGACTTCTAGTTTATGTGATCTATTTCCTTATAAGAGGCAACTGAAAATACTGAGTTTTGAAGCTGGAGGAGGTGAAAGGCAATAATTGTGTCTTTATAGCACTAGAAAAAACAGAACTATTCATCTAAAACTGAATTTAGATTTTTCTCTATGCTACTTGAAAGTTTAATGTTATACAAATTACCGATGTGTGTTAAGAGTACCTATTATAAGAGCAGATATCACAAAATACATCTTCTCTTCAGTTTTGTTGTTGAGAGTGTACATTACTCATCAGATCAACAAACAGCTCCAATGAACACTAATTTTGATTTGCAAACACAGATCACACTGAATGTGTCTCTAATGGTACTTACTCTAATATGACTTCATCACACTTTATAAATAGACTACTGTCACATGCAAATTATGTCTAACGACAAAGTCTCAAATGATACTTTGGTTACTCTGCCCTAGTTTCTGTCAGATGGTTGATTAAATACACATGAAAAATGTCTTTAATACAATAATTAAAATAATATTTCTGTCAATGTATACTTAATGCAATATCAAATAATATGTGTTAATGGAAAAGAAAGACCAATAAATAACTCATTTTCTAGTTCCCACCATTCCGTGAATGTTAAAAGGAAGTACTGAGGACTCCGTCTATTTAAATGACTCAGTAGGTTTCACTTCCTCAAATAAGAAATACTTCTAAGCCAAAGGATACATAAGTTATCAGTGAAAACAATACACAGCTGGAACTCAATTCTGTCATTTCTCGTAATATAGTAAAATAATTCAGACTCACATCTCAACCATTAATACTGTAAGTCAGTGACATTACTTAAAAATATAACTTTGGGTAAACTCAGATAAAAAACAATGACAAACAAATATAAAAAAAATTTAAACCTTCATAATACTCCATTCTCCACAAATACTCCATGTAAAAACCCAAATGAATATTGTTAGTACCATCTCATCACCATCATGTATCAATCACCTTCCATACTCTGCTTAAGTATTGCTAAGATAGACATACTATATCTTAAATACCTTCTTTTAAATGTTTTTCAAGATAGCATTATATATAGTGTAACTTATTTGCTTTCAGCCTGATCATTAGAGGCATACTTTGACTTAAGGTCAATCATTTTATGCCTTCCCACATATATAACATACACCAAGGGCTGTAGGGTATATACATAGGGCCTCCTAAGTCTCATTTTGGAGTGCATTTTATATTTTTACTGTATGTGTATGCATATGCATGTGTGTATTTTTTCCTTTATCAATAACTTCTAATTTATATTACCTTGCTGTATTTCATGTAGCTATGAGGCTGCCACAAATCTTTTTTAAAACATAGCAATTATAACTGGAAAAATTATATATATATATAAATGCACTGAGAATAGGTTGGATCCATACCAAGAATTTTCAAAGCACAGTATCTCCCACAGAAACTCAGTAACTCCTGGCTGAAAGAACGAATGAAAGAACGAATGAAAGAATAAAGAAGGATAGTTAATAGTAATCTTAGACAAAATGCCCCAGAGTGGGAGAGATCTTTGGTTCTGGTTTATTTTATGATGAACAAGGGAAAAAGACATTGGTGAATCTAGACTCTTCTAGTTCTGATTTGGGAGGCCCATAAAAGCCTGCATAGTGAATCAGAAAAGGAGCACAGATACTCTGAATTAGGATACTTGGACTGGAATTCTACCTTCCCCAATTACAGCTGTGTGACCCTGGGCAATTCATTGCATCTTATATACAGGGTACAATGAGATAATGCACATTTAGAGACACCATAAAGTGAGATAAATTATTTTAAAGCTTTATAAAGTGCTATAAAAATTCCAGTTGGCATAATTAGTATAAAAATAGTCTCAAGAATAAATACAATAAGAAAACTAAGGAAACATATCTTAACATTTGAAAAAACTCATATCTCTATACGAATTCCATTTTGTAATGAAATGAATACAACTTAAAACCTGCAGAATTATCAGTGTGCATAGATTAATCATAATTGGAAATATGAGATATCTCCTAAGTACTTTATTAGAAACAGTAATAACTAAAATTCTAGGCACTGTTGTAAGCACTCTCTAAATATTAATTCATTTAATCCTATAAGGTAGGTACAATTGTTGTTCCCCCTTTTACCAACAAGAAAAATGGGTTTACTGGTTTGATGAAGGTCACATAGCAAGCAATACTAAGTAGGAAATCACAACAAGGGGGTCTATTTCAAGAGTCTAATCATTTCAACACTACACTATAGGATCAGCATGTAGTGGTTTTTCAATCTCAGATTCATAGCCAAGGTTAAAATAAAGGTGAAAAACAGCCAGTTGCTACTACTGATCATTCACAAATGTAAAAAATTTAAAACTATTTTGCTTAAATTGCAAATTTCAAAATTAAAAAAACTACTAAAATCAATGAATATTCTGTTGGCTCTAATTGAAAAGTTTCAGCTCTTTAACAGGAAGACGTAAAATGTATCTGAATAATTATACCATTTCTGAGGATACGTTTTTACATAGTA